CAAATAAAGGAATGGGATAGCTATAGTTCGATAAAATCGCAGATGAAAACACCAAAATCATTGATTTTTTCAGTGGCTGTGTGACTTGTGTCTGACACATTCATATGCAAATGACTAATCTGTGAAATAAACCGGGGCGGAGACAAACCACTCAAATGTTTGGAAACACTAATTGTGTGTCAGAAAGCTACTGATAACACATCCTAACATTGCTTTGTCTTGAGTTAATCTTTGAAACTTATAGGCACACAAATTAAACCTGTGTTGTTGATTTTGGAAAACACTACTGAAGCTGCCTTGCTTCCCTTCAGAAAATCTACATTTTAACCAACTTACGACATTCTAGGTTACGTTGACTTTATCAGATGAAAGTTTATAGTGACATTCATCAATTAATAAATAAATGTGAAAATCGTAATTTTCAACACAAATAATAGTCTCGCTACCTTAATGTGGCGAAAATGCACTATCTCAGCACTTAAATACATTAAATATCTGAAACTTTTTTGAAAATCTCTATATGAATAGACGAATTTAAAACACGTGTGCACAAGTGCGGTTTACAGAGACATCTACGAGTGCGTATTGTTAAGAATTATTGTATTATTGTTTTGAACAAAATCGATGTTATATTCTAGTTGTCAACATAATTGAATGTAAACTACGAGCAAACATCACATACCGGGTGAGCAATGTAATTCTCTTTTAAAGAGAAGACTTGCAGAATCGGCGTTTAACATATTGTGACATATACTGGTTTACAATATATTAATCAGTTTCTAACAACAAAGAATTATTTTCAGTTATTACCTAGGCATTTTGATGAACATGAAAACACGTGGAACTTTTCCACCACATTCAAACGCACCGTCATTTAGATAATGATATAACCGTAAAGCTATTTAATTATTCGCTGAACTTCAAACCTCAGTAGATATTTGTGGAACGATGTACGTAAATACATCAGATTCGTTTTATTTTTGATAGTCGTCACTGTTCGTAGTGAAATAGCGAGTTGCACGAGTCTTCGCTCGCCACCCCTGTGTTCGCAAGCATTAGATAATAGTTTGATTTATGTTGCTTCCAATGTCCTGTGGTGTTACCTAATTATGACAGGTTGATTTAATTTAAAGTATCATGCAAGGTCAAAACAATTCCAACCAATAATTCTCTAATTTACACTTACACAATTTACCTTCGTAATGCTGTTAAGATTCACTAAGAGTCTATTTAGAGGTATTTGTGCTTACGAATATGCGCGGATAGTGAGAAAACAGTCCGTCACTAGCGGTACACAACTAATCGACGTCTCCCGATCGTTACTGATTCAACCCGCGTCTTTCTGGTGCTTTGTTATGAGAGTCAGTTCTCATCAGCCTAAGGAGTTCACAGTAGCAATTCAATTGCTGACAGGAGCAACAATTACAAGAAAGTATAATTTGTAATATTGGCGTTCGGTGATGTTTATTGATTAATATGATTTTATGTAAACTAATACAGTTGTTCATGCATCATACGACTCAATTATCCGGTGAAAAGCGACTCCTCACTTTTCAATATTATGGATTGAAATTACATTTTGTGAATAAATATCAATGTTTATTACAAGAGTGTAAACTTGGAGTCCATCAGTGAAATTCAAAAGTCGTGTCACTTCAAAATGGAATTGTGTTCGATGTGACGCGTCCGTTGCGTCATCACTTTACACATGGTTTGATTGGTCATTGCCTTTGTTGATACTACTGTGTATACTGTATCCTGTATTTATTCATCGACGAATGTATTGCAAGTCGTCTACCAGTTTCAACAAAAAAGTTTTTTTTTTATTAATTCTTATATTTATATTGAACAAATCTGCCATTGCATTTGTGTTAACTTGTGTTAAAATTCATTTTCTTTTCCTATTAAATTCTTGCGTGAAATTCCTGTAATGCTAAAAGAAATAATAAAGATATTATTATAAACTTATCTTGTATACATGTCGTATAAAAGTACTATGATATAGATGTCTCACGTTTGATCACACCGACATCGCATTTTTAATGTTATTAAACATTTTTTTTTTTAATTTTCAGACCTCTTTAATTTTCATATCATAACAGAAAATATACTAATCAAAGATGAGTTCAGCATCGAGTGATGAAGATGAAAATGCTCGTGATGACTTTGCCATTTTTATCGAGGAGATAGGTGCAGAAATAAAAAAACGTAAGTTTTTTGCATAGTAATTTAAGTCATATAACCCTGCTCTTTGCTAATGAACAGCTCCGTAAAGTGAGTACGCAACACTTGCATTTTGCTTGTTTTTTTAGCTGCATTTCGTGCCATGAAACGTATGTGTCGTTGTAGATTGTCAGAGAACAAAATAGAATCAATGGAAGACCCCGCAGATCTTATTTGGGCGCTTGTAGACGCATCTGTGATATCTAAATATAATCTGAGCTATCTATCAAGATTATTAAAGACTACAAAGAACTCTACACTTGCTAAACGAGTGAAAGAGTATCAAAATCGTTATGGTGATGCTATAGGTAGGTACCTCCATTCTATATATAAAGTAGGCACATTCAGCAGGCTTGACTGGTTATAATGAAATAAACTCGGTTGTTTACTGGCATTTTGACCAATGAAAATTCGTTTTACAGACGCAGACAAATTATTAAAGCAACGTCACGTGACAGCCAGTATAATCATATATATGCTCGATTGGAAGTAAACTGCCTTTTTCTTTTTCCCAATTATTATTATTAGTGGGCAATGAATGTTGGCGCATTATTGCGTCGGTTTGCTCCTTTTCAGTATGTATTATATACACACAAGTACACCTCCCCTGGTTACCCATATATAAGCGTTTCTGCTGTACTTAATATTGTATTATTGACATTTATTTCATTCACTCGTATGTCAATCCGACTACCACCCATCAGTATTCCTTAGCTTCCTTGGTCAATCAGTGAAAAGAAGTCCAGAACCAAACTACTCTCCCTTTGTCATACTTGCTGTAATTATCACCGTGTTGGTCATTTATTTTCATCAGGGGAGAAAAGAAAACGAAGAGCCTCAGATTCGTGTGTGCAGTACTCAACGCGATGTGCAGGTAGATTAATCTTTTATCATTAACGAATATCCTAAAATAATAATTATATTATACAAGCAATTGCATTGTCCGAATACCTCGTTCCGTTTGGGCGGGAGTGTGTTTTCAACTATGCAAGCCACAACCGGTGAAAACAATGGTCGAAAACTCCCAAAAACATTGGGCTAGTTGTTGAGACTCTCCTGAACAATATAACAAGAGTATCCTCTACATGTGCAACATGTATAAATTTAGTTGTTCAGGATGATCTCATAGTTGAGTTTGGGACAAATACACGTGCGAATTTTCTCCACTGCTCGATGTATCTGTAATCGTTGTATGCTGGTTCCTGGTCCATTTTTATTTTACCACGGTTACAAGTAGAGAGTTTGGGGTGCATTTGTACATGATTATGTTATGGTGTTTTAAAGTTATTTTCAAAAATACATTTAAAGTAATGAAAGTATATATAGCACAAATCACGACATGTGCACATGAGCGTTAGCGTCCATCATAAAAACATCCTAATCGCCATATTTGTATTACAGATATTATGGTTCCAATTTCTTTAGAAGGAAGCAGTGTGGACGACGACGAACAATTTAGGGCGGCAATGACCTTATTTATTATACAGATGAAGAAAATGGTGAAGAGTGATGCATCGGAAAAGGAGAAAAAGCAACTGATGAGAGAGGCATTCGAACAAGTCGGTGTCAATCTCTCTGGTATTACAATATCGAGTGTCATACTCGTCGCCCGTTGCTGGAGTCTGAGAGGATTGGTGTCATTCCGAGATGGTTTGAAGAAGCTAGAAGGATTGTTAACAAATATTCTGATAACAGATGAGATGAAATATTTGATAAAAGACCGTGATATAACATTACGAATATCAACCAATGTGGATTCGTCGTGTTTAGAGATTGTTGAGAAGTATTTCCAAGGTATTTTATATTATATTCTATATGTTTGTCACTGTGTACACAAAACAACATTGTATACTGTGAAAAATAATACAAACGATCAACGAAAACTATCACGGAACAATGATTAAGAAGTTAGCATATTAGTATACCAGTACTGTGCGCTGGTGCATGGT